GTAATATACGAGACCCTGAACGATTGGAAATGCATGGTAAATTGTAACTTCGATATAATTGATAATCAATCGCCACCTCCCTGAAACTGGATGTAACTTCTTCCATTTAAAACGAAATGTGCAAAAAGTCTTTCTACTCTTTACACTTTCCAGGTCACGTTTAACGTCACATGCTCTACAAAAAATGATTCGTTATCCTCTGTAATCACATAAGTGCTCTATCACAGCCCACGGATCCTGATCTCAGGAAGTTGTCTAGGTTGCCACTTCCCTCCTTCCTTCACGCATGATACTTCGAACAAAAGTAATTTCGTAAAATGGAAAAGGGAACTCTTTCTTATTATTCTTTGTTATAAAATTATCTTTTTATAGATTTCCGCGTGTTTATAAATATTATTCGAGTAATATAATTATCTTAAAACGTTTTAACATGTTGCGTTTTGCATGTATACGTTTTGCTTAATTGTGGTAATTCAAGGAAGACGAATTTTCTGGAGGAAGCCTCCCTAAGTCACGCATATAGAGATAACAATGTTTGGAAATCATCACTTCAAAAATACGGCTTTTAGTAGGTCGCTTTGCCCAATTGATATTACTATAAGTTGATATTGATATTACACCACGATTGCTTTGGAAATCCCCGACTCGCGGAGCGAGGAGAGACATCGACATAGGGACCCATGTATACCATCTCCTAAGAAAGATGAGTCACAATTTATGATTGGTCAATAGGGAGAAGCGGTTAGAAAAATTGCATAGAAATAGCGATAAACATTTTTAGATACACCGCCCTCATTGGGGCATTTTGTTTGTGTAGTTAAACAGTTTAATTTATATTTTCAATTTTAATTTGATTTTCAGTTTTAATTTCACGAGTGGAATATTCGCATACTACGCCACCGATTGTGATAAATACTCGGGAAAGGCTGGATAATAATCGCCTTTATAATTAAGAAATCAAATTAATTTTTAAGGTTTAACTCAATTACGTTCAGCAAATTCGCCAATTTAATATAGATAATCAAAAATATCGTTTTTCTTTTTAAAATACGGAAAACTATCGTGAATATGTTTCATCAGGTTCTGTGGATGGAGGAGCCTCGTGAGACATCCCTTCCCTTCGCTGCTCCACTGATAATATAATGTAGTCAAGAAAGAATATACTTTTCTCAGAGAATAGACACATTGTTTTAAGTTTCGTTTGTAGAAATCATAGAAGTTCTCTTATTTCATGAAAAACTCCGCAGCTTTTCTTTGTTTTTTCTTCTTTTTTCTTTGAGATCACCCTTTCCCGGTCCCCTTTTGACTTGATGCAGGTAATTACGTGAATATATTTGTTTTTTGTCTTCATTAAATTGCTATTAGGAACGTTGCAGACTGCCTAGGCAGTAGTTATGGCAATATGCATACGAGTGCAGATGGAAAGTTCGTGCATGGTTCCACTTAATGTGAACATTCATTCAACGTACGAGTATGTTTTGTTCTTCCTCACAAATTAACTTTCTGAAGATCTCGTCTCCTAGGAGCATTCTTCATTGAAACCAGAATAGGAGCCTTTACAACTTCGGCATTACGTGCACGTTTTGTAGATTGTTTCTCTGTTACGATTTACTGGATTCGTGACAGTATCGATTGGACCCTAGACGACTGGAAGACCGTGGCTTCGTCAGATGAGACCCTGTTTCAATTGGTAAGATCTGATGGTAGGGTTCGAATGTGGCGCAGACCCCACGAAACCATTCTTCCAAATTGTCAACAAGACAAGAAGCTGGTTGTGACTCGATTATGGTGTGGGCTGTTTTTATATGGAATGGACAGGGAATGGACATGTTCAGAAACAACGATGGAGTTTTTATGGATGACAATGAGCCATGTCACCATTTCCAATCGAGAGGAAAGCTCAGACACAAAATGCTGCACCGACAACGCTTTCGCAATTATGAACGACTGTAGAGGCATCATAGCTCAATATTTATGCAGGGGACTCAATGACTCCATGCCAGGCCGAATTCCTGCACTTCGCCGGGAAAAAGAAGGTTCGACGCGATATTAGAAGGTATCTCTTGACTTTTGTCACCTCAGTGAATATTAGCAACAATGTCACGAACACATTATTGGTAAAAACATCAGTTGTTCAAAATTAATACACTCATCACTGAAAAGAGAATTAAAAGTTTGCGAAATGACATGTACTTATGAGGTACTTCTTATTTTTCGGATGAATAAAGACGGATAATATAAAATAATTACACTAATATTAAATTTTTGTTGAGACCATTCGCATCGATTGAGGTGACTCAGGGCATCTGCAGTGCCAGAGACCGAGTAGGAGTCACAACGGTGACACAATCTTCGACACAAACTAGAGACCTAGGTCGAATTCAGCTGCTGTTTGGAGGAGAATTCTTGCGGCCGGCTGCTCTGATTTCCGTGGTTTCTCCGATTGACACCAGGTGTGGACTTGAGCAGAACTCTAACAAACGAGCCTAGGATCGCGCGCGACCTCTCCTTCCTCTTCCTTGTCCTCTTTAACTCATCCTTACACACACACTTACACATACTGCACTAACACACATTTCGGGAGCTTAGAGATTGCCCCGGTTGGGGCGGTGCCCCGCTGGTGGGAGAAAAGGGGAAAACTCGGGAAGCCCACGTGTAGATCGGCGCCCACCATCCAGTGGGGGAAGAACTCCGCTACCTTCCGTGATAAAAGCATGCACTACTCTTACGGGACAACAACCATAGCAGTTGTAGCGCCCCGAAACCCGAAATAATAATGAATCTGAGACCATTCGCTGCAGCAAGGTACGGGGCGGCGGGTACTCCGAAACCCGAAATACGGTGAGTAGAGACCTAACGAAGAACGTGTAGCACCAGACGATGAACGCTAAACCCAGAACGATAACTTTTTACCACGTACAAAACTATGAATATAAAAGAGATTTCAGTGTTGGTAATTACTCACTCTAATTGAGTGTCGTAAATTAAATGAAATGTTTTGTTGGTTCGGTTTGTTGTTGAGTACGGAAACGGCTTGGCCTATGGATCGCTCCTAGTCTACATTTTTGAATATATGGTATCTTATTGTATTGATACCCTTCTTGCTGTGATTACTATAAATATAGGGATGATTACCCTTTAAACAAACCCAACCTAGTCACTGATAATACGTTTTTATTGGCCGTGATTACATTCAAAATTGATTGTTAAGTTTGAGTGAGCCTTTTTCTTTTTCTTACGAAGGTACGAAAAAACAGTATTATATTCGTGCACCGTAAAACGAGGAAATTTCGACAGAAAAACTCTCATTGTCGGACCCTGGTAACGAAAAAATTAATAAATCATGCTTTTGATACCAAAAAATTGAATGACAACAGGCCGTCTCTGTGTCCCACCGTCTAAACCGTCAAACCGTCAGTCTGTTTCTGGTCAATGTTGCGCCCAAAACTGTTAAGACGCTTTTCTCCAGAATTGATATTTCCCGATCGATTTAAATAAACTCGAGGCCCTGCGAATTTGAAATGTACATTTTAATTTTCAGGGGTACTTTACAGGAAAAGTCAGTTAAATTTTCAAAATTAACTTAAAAAATAGTTCCAAAGTCTTTCATTAAATTTTGTCCTCGGACACTGTAAAAGACGGTTAAAAGAACGGCAAAGATCTCGTTTTCGTTGAAATCCCTCATTTTTCAAAAATTGCATCATTTCAATTTTTTCGGAGTCTTCCTTTAACTACTGTATTGAAGATAGACATTTTCTTTAATACAAGCGGTTCATCCAAGACAGATCTTGAAATAACGTCACGTACAATTTTTGCGAAAATATGAGTAGGTTTTGCGTGAAATTAAGACAATTTTTAAATAATTATTTTTCGAAAATGGCTCCAAAGTGTTTTTTCAAATGTTTTCCTCGTGTATACCAAAGAAGAAAATATGACCCTTGACCCCTTTCCGGCGAACTCTTTATGTTTTTGAAAATTGCAAAAAGGTAACGTTCCAAAATTACAAATTTGAAGACAGATTTTTGTGTAAAAAATTGTTTTAACACTCAGATCTTTAAAAAAGATCATGTACATTAAAAAAACAGTTTTGCGAGAATCTGCTTCAAATTAATGCAAATTTTAAAAAAATCACTCCAAATGTTTTCTTTAAAACGTTTTTCCACTAATAAAAAAGAAATGCTTAAAATAATTGCGCAGGTCTAATTTTTGTAACGTTCACTGAAATTTCAAAAGTTTCAAATAATGCTAGGAAATATGCGCTTTTGTAGAACCTTGAATTAAAAAGAAAGCATCAACTCATTCATCTAATTTGAAATCTACGATCTTATTATATGTGCTGGAACACGAACTAGGTTTTAGAGAATTCGAACCACACTGCATATCTGCTTCAATTAATTCAACAAGTTTTGAACGAACGGATGTGCACCATGTATTTCATTATATTAAGCACGTATGGTAAATAACCCGCATGCTGTTACGCCCTAAGCAATACACTTTAATTTAAGAGAAGGATGTAACACAAAATTATTTGCATGACATGTTTACCAACAAATACGCCCATTTCGTGTGCGCATGAGAAATTAGCTGTTATAGTATTTTTCCTAATGACCCTATATGATGACCTACTGCTCTTTTATCGACATCTTTTGTCAAGATATCCACATTCTTATCAGCAAATTTGCAATGTTTCGGGATTATCTCTCAATTTTGAATGCCTTCCTTCACGAAATTAGATTTCCTCATAATATGTTTACTTCTGGCTGTAATTTTGAAGCCTAGTTCAGTTTATAATCGATTTATTATCAGTAAAAATTTATATCGGTCGACGAACCAATTTCTGGACGACGATATCCTCGATGAGTGACGCTATCTACTTCTCCTCGCAGATCGCATCGTCTATTCCAATCAATTCCGGTTCCATTGTGGAAAATACGATATTTTCTTAAGTGTCCTATTAAAAAGCAATTTTCCTATTATCATATATCCCGAAAATGTTTTACTATTTTCGGTAACCAATTAGCATCTGAGTCTACACTTATTTGAGCTTGTTCTTTGTTTATTTTTACTTTAACTTGTTTCTTTCCTTTCCCAAATGTCAATGCTCTTGTTGTACCTTGCGGGTGAAGAGTCCTCTGATTCCTCGCATATTGTGATTGTTTACTGGAGGTGTGAGCCAAATTTGGATGAAAGGCCTGGTAGCCCAGTTTTTTGGCACAAGCGCACATTGACTTTGTCAAAGTTTTCAAAATCGTCAATTTTCCTCTCATTACTCCAGGCGTGTTTATGGGGTGGTATTAATTCATTTCACTTTGCTAATATTTTTTTAATGAACGTTTCTTGATCCTTTCTTGCAACCTTGATATCCAAGAACGATTCATTCATATCACCGTCCACTATCTTTATCATTAGTTATTTCTTCAAATTTGCCATTAGGTACTCTGTTTCTCTTGCGAAGATACAATCATTTGCATGGAATTCAATGGCCAAGAAATCTATTACTTCAGCATTCCAACACACGCAGAGGTCACATTTACTCGATTACATTCCACACCGCTTAAGTACATCGCACAAGTTTATGTATCAGCATCTTCCAACTTTAGGAAGACCGCACACCCTCTTCTTCAGCGTTAACACCTTGCCTTCCTCAACGTGTCACCGTGTGGAATTTTCATATAAACGTCTCATGATAATGTTTCGTTCAGGAAAGCTATTTTCACTTCGATGTATTTGACTAGATAACCGTATATCGCGACCATTGTGTATGTGTTTTATATCATGAAATACATGGTCCATATTCTTCCGTTTAAAGCTCGGTGTATTGTTTGAAGCGGATCTGAAGTGTTTGTAATTTACAAAACGTAGTTTTTATAGCAACAAACAGGTAGTAGAGTGTAATACAATAAAAATCATGGCTGAAGAAACAACATTGCCCTTGGGGAAAATCGAAGTATTAACAAATCAAGGGCGGACCCAGAGACAAATTTTGGGAGGGAAAATTTAAAATGTGTCATATTAAATGTTCTGTAAAATGTCTCAGGGTATACTCTGCTCATGCTGCGGTACAATTTTATTCGTTTTAATGATTACCCAAAAATATTTTTGCTTGAAAGTTTCGTGACAAGTTAAAATTAATAGTTACTGAAAAATTTTATGGGGGGGGGGGATTTCCCTCATATTCCTCCCCGTGGATTCGCGCCTGAACAAATAAAGGAAGTAAGGGAAGACAGGTAGTGGGGTAAGAAAGGGAGGGGCTATCAAAGTGAGGATATTCCTATCGGAAAACTACATCAACAGCATCAGTAGACAACGACCATTAAGTGGGCATCACCTGACGTTATTTCCATGCCGGATGATGTGAGATTTGCAAGGTACGAATAATTTACACACCTATTAGCAACATGTTGGTACATATAAAACTCTAATATACGTTCCATGTTCACAATTGTTCTAATTGTACACGTGAATTCCATTAGTACGACTTATTAGCAACAAAATAGTGAGTATGGATTCTATTTTCATTCAGATGTTTTTCAGCCAGCCCTATCACAACTTAAAAGTACGCTTGAACGCATAATGGGGAAAGGCACGGCGGCGAGGTATTCCATCTTGCCCCATTCGTTGTCGTACATTGCACAACGTCATTGATCTTAGTAGCGTAAATTGATTGCTCTAAGTACAAAGCACAAGCTTAATGAGACCCATTATATTTCTTATTAATTGTCGTTGTAACTGAGTGTTACCCACATTCGTTCTTAATGGTGGGCCCAAATTTAATTTAGTTAACAATAGATTTTCCCAGTCTTATTACAAAAAAAAGAAAAAGTTGGACTTAAGATGTTGAACCTTCGCATTCGTGATAAGTAAGATTATAGCAGTGTGACATTCAACTCTATTGTTTGATTATAAAATGTGCCGGAATATTTTTTTATTCTCACGTGTGATTATATTTCTGAAACTGTGAATAACACTTGATGTAATAATAATGAAGGTAATACTTTCAATTATCCCTCAACAAAGAAAAATGAGAATAAAGTTATATTGAGTACTGTTAAAGAATTAGAAGCTTTGTGTTTTGGTGTGATGGAGTCAGAAAAATCAGAAACGCGTCGTTCATTGGTAGACCCTCTGAATTCTTTTTTATGCCGCCCGTTGTCTCATACAAACGTTGGAAATCATTTAATCTCATCTACATATAATGAAACATTCCATTACACAAAATCCACGAATCTTTTTTGTTAGTGCAGATAAAGGTGGGGGGATTGTGGCCATTGATGATTACGTTCTCAAGGTGAAGTCGATTATCTTGGATGTGAATAAGTATTTAGCGTTGAATAGGAGTAAGCTACCAACTTTCATAAGTCTATACAAAAGTTAATAAAAAGATGGAAAAGAGCCAAGTCATGTGGTTGGTTCTGTAAGTTTCTGGTCTCACTAACTTATTTTTTTGATAGGGAGAAAAAGTTACGTAACTTTTCAACTTTATAATCTTTTACTTCAACACACTTTTCACATCTGTATATTAACATTTCTAGGCATTTTAATTAATACTACGAATGTTTGTTCGCAAAATGATAAAAAACTGCTTCTTTCACCTCATATTTGTTTGAAACTTTTCTTCCCCGGAGATTATTCTTCAGTTTTGATAAGTGGAAGACGTCGCTGGGTGCCTAATCTGGACTGTGGTGTCAGTGGTCCAACTTCTTGAAGCCAAAGTTCTTCAGAAAATTCTTTTCAATCTGAGTAGTAAGCACAGGTATGTTGTGAAGAAGCTAAACACCACCAGATTTCACGCGCCACATCCAACTCAAGTACCATGCTCCACAAAACTGAGTGAGATATCGGCTGCAAACTTATACCATTACAACAATTTAAGATAAGACTATAAACTTCTTTTGCTTTTCCAAAAATACAAAAATGCATTTACTTGCCTCTTACTTCCTTAATATTGCCACCCTGCGCAATATTACTGTTATTAAAATAGCGGATACGAAAACAAATCCAAAGAAGGGGAAATCAATCAAAAATGAGCATTAAAATGAGTTTAAGAAACAAAACAAAATCTTTGCAAATGAGAAATGACGACGAATTTCACATTATCAAGAGGACAGTTAAATAAATAACTCGAAAAAGGCAGTAGCAATGGTAGCAAAGAAAAAAGACACCGCGACGAGCGACAGCATAAACTCAAGACTAGCCCGGTCTGGCCCGGTATGGCACGGTAGGTGGTATGGAGGAGATTTTTTAAAAGTTGATGATTACATTTGTTTCGCGGAATTGTGCGCGCATGAGGCCGTTACGGCCGGAACAAGACGACACGGACCTTCCCCGGTTGCAAAAAGGCCGAAGGAAAGATCTTTTGGACATTCCGACGTGCCATTCCGTCCGCGCTGATGACATCATCGGTAAGTCCGCTCACGGCAGAACGGCTTTTCCGCCGTTTCAGTTGTGAGGTGCTATGAAATGCGCGGAGCAAGCCTAGATGTGTCCTATTACTTTCTCGCTACCGCTTAGACAGTAGAGAGAAAATTATGTAATGCTACGCGAAGAAACAGCAAAATTCCGACAGAAAAACAATTCTTACAGGGCCGTGGAAACGGAAAATTGGATAAACTCAATTGCAAAATTTAGAAAAAAATCCTCTAACATATGGTATAGCCACAATCCATGTTTTTGGGTTCTTGATTCCGAAAAATTGAATGATCGCAAAACGTCTGTCCGTCGGTCTGAGAGCAACGCTAGAGGATAAACCGTTCCGCCGAATTTTCTCCAAAATTGATATTCCCCAATCGATCTGGCTGATGTCGCGGCCCCTTGAATTTGAAACTTACATTTCAATTTTGGGGGTACTTTACATAAAGCCTCTGGAACATTTTCAAAATGTTTTAAAAAATGGCTCAATTGTTTTTGATTAAATTTTGTTGCTGGATAGTGTGAAGGACGTTTAAGCGGATGATGCAGATCTCATGTTCGTTGAAAACCCTGATTTTTCGAAAATTGCATAAGTTCAAAATTTTTTTTTGTGTCTTCCTGCAACTAAAATATTAAAGATAGGAAATTTCCCCGTAATGAAATCTATTTCTTAAAGATAGATTTTGAAATTAAGCCATTGGATTATTATTCGAAATGTGAGTACTTTTTGCGTATAATTTTGCGTTTAAGTGCTGTTTTAGCACCACTAGTTTAATTATCTTGTACAATAATTGATCCAGTTGTACAACATTATATTAAATTTTATTTATTGTACTACCCAGTGCTCGAAAATGTAATGTAACTGATTAGCTAAACTAACTGTATCGAGAAGTAACATTTGCCAAATTTAAAATACCAGATATTTGTAAGAAGTTGAAGAGCGCTCCCGAAAATACTGGGACAAGGGGTGGGGGCGCGCGGCTAGGTACGGCCGAGCTGCCATCTATGGGTGGTGAAGTCTTCGGAAGGAACGCCAAATACAATCATAAATCCGTGCACGCCGAACAAGTACCGGGAGAGGTGTGTCAGGGCATGAACTGATGTCACTACAGTGCCTCTGACAACCAGATCCTAGGTTCGAGAGCTAGGTGGCAAGAGCTTTGAAACTAGTCAGCTAGGTCGAATTCAGTCGCTTTCCAGAGGAGAATTCTAGCGGCCGGCTGCTCTGATCGGTAGTTTTCCGTGGTTTCTCCGATAAACAACAGGCGAATGCCGGAGCAGTACCCTAACAAACGGGCCACGGACCGCGCGCGATATTTCCTTCCTCTTTCTTAACCTATCCTCACCCCTTATGTACACACACTTACCCTAACATGCACTACTCTGCCACACATGCCGGGAGACCGGTTGGGAGCTTAGAGCTTGTTCCGGGTGAGGCGGTGCCCTGGTGGTGAGAGATACCTGGTAGTCGATTTGCTAAAACTTGTTCAATGTGCTTTGGACGAGAGACACTGCTTTACGCACAGGTACTATATCAAGTACATATTTTTTAATCAAAAAGTGTATTCGCATCGCTTACAAAGCGCGCGCAGTTTAAACGAGGGATCAAAGTCAATTTCCTGATAATTAACAAAAAATTAAACATTTTCCTCATACATAAAAGCAAATACGTTAATCGGTTAATACATACAAAAGAAGACAATATGTTGGAAGGACATTCCTCCATAAGGTCTTTTCTTGCCTAGTCATGTCACAAAGCCTTGCGTAGATTCCTTTCGAGTTACGACTAATGTCCAAAATACGGCTAATTCGCGAATTAACGGGTAATTAGTTCAATAACAGATGGTTTGGATGAAGCTGTGTGAATGACAATGAACGGACTTCATCTGGCAAATATTGGTATCAGCCACAGGGTGCTGACTTCAGGTGATTGTCATAGTGTGAGGAGTCATGTGTGTTTGCGAAAAGTATTTTGATATAAAATTGAGTAGAATAGTGCTCGTTGGACAGACTCACGGATGTTTTATGGAAATCGTGGAGGCCAATGGCCGGAGACTCGATGCAACCTCGGAAATGCGTAACGAAGCGGCAACTGAAGAATAGGCCATACAGTGAAGTCAGGTCAGGAGAGATAATATTGAGTTAATAGAAATATTAACGACTAAGACAATAGAAATCGAGACTACTCCACACTTGTCTCTCACTAACTTTATTGTTAGAAAATTCCCGCTAGCTGTCAGATTCCACTACTATTTATCGCCACCGTAATGAACTTCTCCTACTCCTGCCACCTCTTCAGCACTTCACCCATCCAAAGTCCGAAGTATGCTTCGACGCTGTGGGTACTTCAGACTTAATCCACCTCTATTCAACGTATTCTCTTTGAAAGTAACGTCAGCCATTTTCGCAAGTAACAGAACCTACATAAATAAAATTGAAGTGTCGGTCTGTGATTTCAAAAGAACTACATTCTCAATCTCGTATCGTTATTTACATGATATTACAAACCGTCCAATTGTTTTCACAATTTTGTCTGTTCGTTTGTTCAGAGCGGTCTCTGGAACGGCCGTTCCGGTTTCGGTGCGCTTTTCACTGGCAGGTAGTATGTTTTGCGAAAAATTGCTTCCCAATTCCCCGGACGACCGCGGTTGGAACAAAGTAGGGGGGAGAAGATTATCTGCGCACGCTTTCTTGAGTTCCATTATCCCTTCCCCTCATTTTAACTATAAATAGTTGAAAGTTTAACATAAATAAATAAAAAGAAATTTTAAAAATCGCAAGACAAGCAATATTTTAAAAATAGACATTTAAGTTTCAGTGTTATAGAAAACTTATTTGCATCGGTACACGAATTGCAAGTATGATTTTCTGCATTTCTAACAAAATAGCAACTCGCCTTTACCTCTACTCTTACCATTACAAACAAAAGGCGAGTTCAACAAAACGTGCGCATAGTGAAGCTACATTTACGTCCAGAAGCAAAACAAGGGACCATTTCAGCATTTGCTCAATGGATCAGGGAAACTGGATAAAAACCTGATCGACATGGGGGTCATTGACCCGGAACCTAAAGTACATTATTTGTTACAAACATACTAAGTCTTTTTAAAAAAAATTGTACAATACAAATGTAAACTAATTCGTTATATATCACTGTTTTGTTAAAATAAACATTATCTTTCTTTTTGATAATCAGTATAGTCTCTAATTGTATAGAAACAGTTATGCAGCAGAAAAGATTGTACTTTTAACTTAAATTTGTGAACCGGCTTTAATTGTTTAATGTCATCTGGCAGTGCGTTGTAAAGGTTGCGTAGGCTTCCCGGATAGCCCAGCCAACAACAGTGCGTTGTAATGTAACGTTCATGTATTGTACGTGGATTTCTGATAGTGAGCTGTTGATACTGACACTTGATGAACGTGATTTGTACGACGTGTGTTGTAATTATAAATACCAGTATTGCATGAAAATATGTTCCCACCGTTAAGTAAGTCACTTTTACAAAGATTACAGATTCGTAAATATATAGGCAAGGCAGTGGTAAGATTCCAAACTCACAGAAGAGAGACTTGCAAGGGTAACGCGGATGGCATTTTTTCATTATTCGAATAATTTCTTTTGCAATCTAAAGGTCTGAGTACTACATGATGAGTTTCCCCAGGATTCTATACCATATCTGAGACGAGAATGTACATTTGCAAAATACACGCAACGAGCTGCATGAAGGCTGGCAGAATTTCATAGAATTCTGAATGCGTAACATAATGAACTTAATTTAGTGTTTAATTTTGTTATAAGTACATTCCATTTGAGGTTTGACTAAATTGAGCGACCTAGAAATTTTGTTTCCTGAATATCAGGTAATTGCATATTATTCATTTTCAATGGAGCATGCGATTGCTGATTTGAAATGCAGAAATGCATTGAAACTGTAACTTGAAACTGTCACTGTAACCTAGATCACCGCCATTTTCTACGATAAAAGCATGCATTTCACTTACATGACTAATGGCCTTACCAGTTGATGCGCCTGGAATCATCAATCAATTAAAGAAAATTCCTGATTTCCTAACAAGTGACAGCTCAGAAAAATCTTACCGTGACTCATTCATAGACCTCTCAAAACATTACCTGCATTTCGAGTGGTTGTAGAAAATTATAAGAATGGACTTCATCTTCTCGTGGTACTCCATTAATGGCTGGAGTTAGTTTTCTTTAATACACATTTCCGAATTTTGTATATTAAACAAAATGTTACAAATAATTTATCTGAGAATAAGATTGTGGGCAAAGACTTGAGAGAAATTTGAAAATTTCGAATCATCAAGGTTTTCAGTGAAAAAGAGACACTGTGTTTTCTACGCAATAAGATGACAGAGATTAATGAAACTATTGGAGCAAACACAGCCCATATTTTCACGCAATATTTTTCAAATTTCCAACTTTCGAAAATTCAGATAGTTTAATGAAAATGGGACCTGTGCAATTCTTTTAAATGTCCTTGTTTTATCCGTGGAAAAAGTTGGATAGTATTTTGAGAAAATGTTTTTTTTTTTATAAATTGCAAATATTCCCAGATTAAATTACGGGAAAACGATTCGATTTTTCAAAAAAATGTACATGACCTTTTTTAATGAGCTGAATTTTACTTTCTCGTCTTTACGAAGGTACATAATAAGAAAATACAGTTTTGTAATCGGATGCCGGAAAATCGGGAATTTCCGGCAGAAAAACTCTTATAGCTGGGTCCTGGTAATGAAAAAATAGATAAATATAGTTGCTAAATATAGAAAAAATTCCTCCAACACGTGGTGTAGCTAGAATCCATGTTTTGTGGGTCCTTGCTACCAAGAAATCGATTCACGACAAAACGTCTTCCTGTTGATCTGTGGTCAACGCTAGTGCCAAAACCGTTCAGCCAACTTTCTCCAAAACTGATATTCTCCGATTGATCTTGATAAACTCGAGGCGTTGGGAGTTTGGAACGGATATTTTGATTTTTGAATTACTGTTTTTTCATGGTGGGAGCATTTACGTTTATATGCTTCGGTCCGAGTTCGATCCATACGGCGCTTCTGTGGCATAGTGGTATGAGTGACGGCAAGTTAACTATGAGGATCTGAGTTCGGGACTCGGAGAGGGAAAAAGTTTGCTGGTTGAATATACTTTTGCAGATTTATGTAGTAGTAATATAATAATGCGCAGTAGTTACAAATAATGCGAGAAATATGTGCTTTTGCGGCACCACTAGTTTAGAACAGATTTTGGTTAAGGAAATTCTTTAAATTTTGGAGGTTCTCCACAAAAGCCCCTGGTATGTTTTTAAAATTTTGTCACGAACGATTACAAGTTTTTTCATACATTTTTTGTACAATAGAGTAATGTATATAATGGAATGTGCATGTGTCGCACACAGGCCCCAAAACTACACCGATTCCGCTGAAATTTTCACATTTTATTCTTATTAGTAATGAGAGAGTTTAAAGAGAGGTTTGAATTAAAACGAACATGTGACGGCGTTCTTGATGATTTATTCGTTTATAACGATTCAAACACCCCTGATCTCCACTAAACCCGCCGCGTGTCTTCACTGCATATACGTATTCTGCTAGTGCGACCGCTGGTGTTTCCGGCATATCGGCCGGAATTATTATTTGAATCTCGGACAAGTACATCAAATTTCTCCAAGATTGTGTCATGGCGAATGCATATTTTTCAAGAACATGGTAAAATATTTTTAGGAAAAAAAAAGACCTAACAATTATGAAGAACTAATTCAATAGCTGATAAATGTATACAGGGATTTAGGGTGAAACATATTTTTAAAGGTGCATTTATTGATTCACATTTGCACCATTTTTCTGAGAGTTGCACTTTGTTTCCAATGAACATGTTGAAAGGTTTCATAAAGACATGATGACCATGTAAGTATAAGGAATTACAGATGCTTTCAATACTTGTAGACTATTGCTTGAAGGTTACTTGAGAGTGCACAACTGATCACAAGAAAACAAAGAAACTTTTTAAATTTCCAAGAGAAAGAAGAGTTTGTTGATAAATTGTCTGACAATATTTTTTTCCTACAATATATTACACTTAATAGGTCTTTATCTACTTTTTGTTTTATTATGATTGGCATGTTGCTTCACAATTGTGCTAAAAAATCTACAATAGTAATTGTAACATTTTTGCCAATAAAGAAGCACAGAATGTGGAAAAAAGTACAAAAAATGAAATTGCATATAATGTGAAAACTGCCTGACAGAAAGAAATTGATTTCATATTTGAATTCAGAAGACAGAGTTCTATTTGAATCAAAACTGTTACACTCCGAAAAATGATTATTATATTTTCTTTGTAGAACAGTGTTATTAACAACTCATTGGGCATACATAAGATAATATTTAATGTTATAGAATGGATTGTACTTGTCACAACTCTTTAAAATCATCAGGAGTGTATTTTAGGTTAAAAATGCTTCACAAAACAAACAAATAACATTCTATACAATTCAACATTTATTCAATATAAACATATGTTCACTATGATCATTCAACACATTTAAATCTGCTTCTTACAGATGTGAATACACTATACTGGTCTTTAAAAATAGTTTCAACAGACTAGCCACTATGTACAAATAACACCAATTTCCATTTTTCTACTTGCAGGTCTACTGGTGAACTGGAATATTTCAATATAAAGTACACTATAAAACCATCATACAAATTTTTAAAAATTAGCCTAATTAACACAAATCACGTTTTAAACACCAAGCACAAAACGCTTTTGTATTATTATTATTATGAAATAAACACATGCTCCGTTTTCTTCATATACAATCCTGTTGATACACATCCACACATCCTTGCAACAATAACATCCATAGTAAAAATTTAAGAAAATGACTGGAATGTCAGGGTGGTAGAGTACTGAGTTATTCTTAAATTAACTTATTATATATGTCTTAACAAGAAGGCACTGCAAATGCCAACCACCTCATTTTTTTTGTTGTTTTTTCTTTTTTTTTTACAATTTAACAATTTTCTAGTATGAAGGTTGGTTATATCTTTTGCAGGCACTTCATACTACACAATGTGTTATATTACAAGCAACCTTGTACATTATTCAATAATATCAATGGTCAAAAGTAGAAGCATTGCAAAACTTTATAATTGAAAAATCAACCTGCTAATTTCATTAGAATATGAAGTAAAATTACATCAATAAGTTGGTGGATTTTGTTTTTCCATCCACATACTTCAAGAAATTTCTTCTTATATTATTTTTTCCTTAATTTGCAAATGAATAATTATCTGATAAATTTTGTGGATGACAGTTGAAACAAATAACGGCACTTAATTTTTTGTCATAATAGAACAAAAATTGAATTTGAAATGTTTGATATATCTTCATAATTAATTATTAAAATATGAGTCTGATAATTCTTTTTAAAAAGACAAAATAGAAAATCCAACCACAGCAAACATTCATTGAAGAAATTTAACAAAACAACATACAACAGTTATAGAATAGGTAGTATTGATGTTTCAGCTTTCACATCAAATCATCATTGTCAAATGGCTCTGTTTCAACTGCCCTGCAGGTTGTGAGAGTTAGGGTCCCAATGAAATTTTTATCCTTCTCCCAAGCTCAAAAATGAGACCTGAACCACCTCTGAAGGTATTCTGAGGGCTTCTTAATCAGAATCAAATATAAGTCAATTAGCTCTCACGTTAGAGATTAATGAAGATTATTTTTATTTCTCTGGTAAGAGAATTTTCATCAGGTATGAAGACAAAGATTTTGTGTTAATGGAAGAAGACAAAGACTCCAATTTAGTTGGAACAGTTCAAAAAACATGAAAAGTAGCATTAAATTGATGTATATTGGTGCTTTATCAAAGAATGTAGTGTTATCTGAATATAAATTATTATTGTTATTCTCTAAATTTATCACTAAAGATGTTAGTTGTCAAAGATATATGAAATCTTCTCCATGTAGCAACCAGCTTCCTAAGAAATTATTCTTATTATTATTATTAATATTATGAAATGAATTTTTACGACCAAATGGTTAAAAAGATATAATTAATATTTTAAATCAAAAGTATTTACTTGTGTTTAAAAATGGAGACGTAATTCAATATTATGATTTTGAATGGTGGGTTTACCTTGAAATTTTTGCAATGTCAGTTTTTTAGCTTCTTTTAATTTTCCTTCATTTTGGTTAAATAAATAATAGATATGTGCAATCAGATTTACAAATTGACTCATTGCAATATGATTTCATCCAAAAGCAATCAAATAGCAAAAAATAATCGAAACATCGCACTCAAATCTGTATTCAAAGATTCATTGTACAAATGGAGACAACATACTTTGTATATATTTTTATTTCCTTGTTGGAAACAGAATTAAAAAGATTATGCCTGATCTCTCCTTCAATAGATATCGATTCTACTAGCAATAAATCCCACATTAAAAAATGTAGTTGCACAACATTTCTAGATCCAATGTTTCTACTTATGACCATTTGCTTACTCAATTCTATTAGAATAGAATTTTAGAAATTCAAGAAATAAAAAAATCTGTAAAGGAACACCATAAGAGCTTTTCCACAATATAAGTAAAAGGTTAGTAAAATATATACCTCAGTCATTTGTGTTAATGCAATAAATCACAATTGAAATATTGATACTTTCAATTTCATTCAGTGATTTACTTTACATAAAACTGAAGATCAGGAGAATTGAAGTGTAATTACAATAAGGCGCATGTGATAAAATTGCCTGTAGCACACAATATGATCATACTTTTACACATTTTAAAATTTACTGTACATACATATATTACAATTTCTTAAGTTCCCCACTTTATAGGAGTCATATAAAAAAATTGAATATAAAATAAATGAGGTTGCCTGTAATTACATCATCTGCACAGTTCTGGATATCCAAGATTACTATCTAAGCATTGCACATACAAATACATCAGGCACTTGTACTAATGGACGGAATAAATGACTATATATTGTATTAATATTGTAAGGACAAAGGAATGTGGTTTACATATTTTCATTTATTGATAATGTGAAACTATAATTATTCTGTAGTTAAAAATAGTTCATTAAAAATTGTTTTATCTTTTATTGTTTTGAAATGGACATAGAGATGCAGCTATGAAGCTGCTTAAAAGCGTGACGCACATTAAAGAGCACCAAAGTAGAGAGTGTTTCAGGAAAAAAGTGCCCAAATGCAGAGGACAGCTTGAGAGGGTCAAATTAGTAGCACTTTCCCTCTCTATGCCCTCCTAGAAGTTATGATCTAAATTTTGTAATTCTCAAAGATTTGGAAGCAGATGGAAATGAAAAGGTCAGTATTTGTTTTTTCAAAGAGCGTATATGATTTTCTCTGAGTTCTTTTTTAACTAAAGAGAGAAATGTGCAAAAAATCAAAAATCACTGTTACAGTAACAAACATTAAGTATCAAGTATGATCAATCTGCAGAATAATCATAAAAGATGGAAAGACCTTATCTCACAGAAAGAGATGTGTCAAATAAAATACCATCAACCTTTTATAAGTTAAGGGTTAACTTTGTTCAAAGCAATAAATGTTCTGAAATGATGCTCATACGATGACAGATTGTAAGAAAACAATTGGTGTAAAATTTTGAGGAAAAACAAACAAACATAAACATATGCAAAAATAGATACCCTGATATTGAAAAATAAAATATTTTATTTTCTGTTTATCACATTTGTTATTGTTCACAGGCAATGTTTAAATTGCAAACAATTAATTTAATAGAAGTAATTCAGCTTCTATGCGATTCCTACAGACAATTAAAACAACCAGTGAAAATGTGATGTAAATAAAATGTATTTTTCTTAAAACTGGTAGTGGGGGGTAAAAAGGGGAATATCATATGGTATTTTATAATGGCAGTTAGCAATTGTCAGAACAGTGGTTATTGCTTCATGATGAAAAAAGATCTTCACATTCTTGGTATGTATCATTTGTCTGTTAGACTTTTGTAGTTAGTTCATTTAATTGTCTTTTAAAAATTAGTAGAAACAAACGTGAGCTGAGCACTGATATTACAGTATTGTGTGGATGCACCATCACAAATATTTGGGTGCAGTCTCCTCATCACTTTGAAATTGTCTTCTTTCTAATGGATGTGGACCTTCAAAGTTTGTTTTAGAATTTGATTAAAAATTAAATTACATCAATTTATTTTCTCAATTTCATAACATTTAGAAAATCAATTTGCACAATATATGGAATTTATTTGGCTACATTCCATATTTTTATCTCTGCTACCACACCTTTATAGATTACTGTGTGGAAAATTGTCAATATATATGACAAAAACAAGTACTGAATATACATGTCATTGGTACAAAATATAACATTATTTTCGATGGATTGCCCTTTAAATAACAAATTTTCCTTATGATGTTCTTTTCTTGAGTCTCTTTTCCACACCTAATCCAAATATTCCCATAAATGTTTCTAAAAAACAAAAAATACAACTTTACATTACAGATTTATAATGTGCAAATAAGGCACATTTTTCAATTTATTAAAAATGATTTAAAGACATTAGCATCTATCCAGAAAAGCGGAATTCCAGGAATACCACAGGGTTTACAAGTTCACATATTCACTTCCTGAAATTAATCATATCAAATCTTCAATCAAAAGTAAGCATTCTCACATGAATAAAACACACTTGCATTTTCATTACATTTCAACCATTCATAAAACCTTCTTAGATAAAATACTTGAATTTTTTATTCATACTTGCCATTATCACTGAAATATACAGGTACAAAGTCACTGTAGAAAAAACCTATAGCTAGATATCAAAATTGTTTAGTAGTTCTTTAAAAATTATCACTATATAATCCAAAGATGGAATGAAAGACCACTATATTAGCTGCATCACTTGGAATTGTGATTTAGGTAACACCTAAATGATTATCCTAAAACATTCCGAAACTGCTACAGAAGATGCGTTATCACTCGTCTTATAAATAAATATTTTTTTAAAATTCCAAAAATCTACATAGCAGTTTCCAATGGCTGACTTTTACTGCGACTAAAGTTAGAAACTTGATGTGTTGGTCCATACAGATCCAGATTTGTTTCTAAAAGTGCCTCACTCTTTGAACGTGAAGGAGGAGGAGGAGGATCATCATCCAAATTAGTTTCTAGTAGCATGTGACTTTGAGGTCGTAAAGGCTCATTATCTAAGCTTGTGTCTAGAAGATTTGTTCTGCTTGGTTCAAAATGATAATTGGAGGGAGGAGATGGTGCTAATGGATAAGTTTCTTCATCTGCAGGAGGAGGCGGAGGAGGATAAGCTGACCTAAGTAATCCACCATCTGCACGAGGTTTAAATCCAGCCTGCTGATTGTCATAATCAATTCCTTGTTTCATTTCTAATGTTGAATCTGTGGCGGCAAAACTTGCATCAAGTGGCAAAGTTGAAGAATTGTAATCAATTGTTCCAGGACTTTCATCATCATATTCACTACCAGTTGTTGAATGCCAATTGTCTCGTGATGTATAGGCAGAATGGTCTCTGAAACCTTCGTTTTTGTATGCAAGATCAAAACTAGGGTTCACAGCTTCTGTTGCCCCTGGAAATTCTGATGTATAATTGAAAGTTCTTGCTGATGTGTTTGGATTATGTGCTTCATAAATATCATAACTGTGGGTATCTTCAACTGATGAATTAAATTGAGATTTATCCATAGAATCAATGCTGCCATTCATCATTTTCTTATAATCCATACCTTTAGTGATGGTAGGGCTTGATCTTTGACCCTGGAAATTAATTGATTTTGCAAATAAATAATCTACATGTTTCAACAAAAGGTACTAAAAACAATTACAACAGAAAATTAAACCAGATAAGAACTTATAAAAAAAAAGATTAGGCTACAATACTTTGTGCTCCAAAAGATACAACAGAGAGAGTGAACATTCACTTTTTTCTTTTTCCACTTTGGTAAAAGACACAAAGACACGCGTGCACACCCCTCCACTCACTCACTTCATTTCTGATTCTAATTTAATAACTGGTGTATACGAATCAAGGAATCATTACTACAAGATTTGCATACATATTCACTCTGTCAACAAGTAGTGTAGATTGTATCATGTTACAAGAAGTTTAGTGGCGAGAGAAACCTCCAAGATAAATAATTAAGATATATATTCCAAATAGAAAAAAGTTTATCTTCACACTTTTTAATAATTTCTTTTCAATGTATACAATGCAATTAAAGAAAAGGCAGTACATGAGTAAATGAATACTTACAGTATTGGTCTTTTGCCTGTGTGCTAAATCACTAAAAGCACCATGTGAAGAAGCTAATCCAACAGATCTCACAGATCTGAGAGATTGTCTAATTGAATTTCGTCTTTCTAATCTTTCTGCATGCCTGTGACGAGACTTTGTATACCAGAAACCTGCAGCAACTGCTATTAATAAAATGGCTATTCCAACCATGATTAAAACGACTACAGTAAGAATATCATCTCTCCAGCTCAGTGGATCAATGTGTACTTTAGGATCTGTGAAACAAAGCACAATTATTACATCTACAAAGTCAGTATACTACATCTGTAAAGATCATTTCTCATGCCCAAATAAAAAGTATAATACTTGTGTATGGTATACTGGTATAGAACATACATACCTATTTCACACAAAAATGGGTTTAATCTTTGGCAATGATCAATTTCAATTTTTTGAAATGCAAACATGGTACATTTATTAATTTTATCAATATGCTGTACCCACACATGATCATAAAACTGGTACGTTTCTTGTTGATGACGTAGAAAGTGGTATAACTGGAGATAGTTACCCATCACATATGGCATTGAAGCATTAACAGACTGAAATTATGAAGAAAGATAATAAGTTAATGATAAAGTTTTCATAGAATATAGGAATAAATAAGATAATCGAACACCATCTTCAAATGAATTTTTAATACAGTGAGAATGGTAATTGTAAACCAATGGATAGAACTGTTTAAGAGGAAAACATCTCATGACATTAATATCTCTTTGCCTGCCCCCTTGCCAATCTTCCGAATTATCAATTTAATACTACAATAAAACATCCTCAATACTGAATGTATGTAATATGAAAAACTGTCTCAAGTGAACATTAACCACAATCCTGGCATATGCAAATTCTAAGTAATAAACTGTATAATACTAAACAAATTCTGTTCCCTTAAAAATTCCTTACTGAGTAAGCTTTACTGTTCATACTGGTCAGCAATTGTGATATGATGTAACAATAATAAAATATGCATAATGAATACAGTATTCCCAAACAATATTTTGCGATTTATCTTATGATAAAATATTTGAAAAACTTTTGAAAATTGATCATCAAAACAATACATTTTGCCAACCATGTAACTGAGGCAAGAGCAAATTCAACGTAGCTGACCATTCAGTCCGTCCCTTTTGTCTGTTCTGTCTGTCTGTCATCAGTCAATCATGCCCTCTGTTCTGTCCATCCATCTGTCTGTCTGTTGATACACTAGCACCTAAACCATTGATAACAATTTCTCCAAAATTGATGTTCCCTGATTCATCTGGCTGAACTTTACTCCTTGAGAATTTGAAACTCATATTTTCATTTGAGAGTATTTTCATGAAGCCTCCATATTTCCAAAAAGGAACTCTATATTCTTGATTAATTTTTTTCCTCTAATTGAGTCAAGTACCTTAACAAGAGTGGTCTAATTTCATTGTACTCTCCAAAATTTTTTGAAACTTTCTTAAGTGTAATTTTTTTAGTCAATATGCAATACTGAAAATAAACATTTTTCTTAACAAAATTTGTTCTTCAAAAATAGATCTTTAAATAATGTCATGTAAAATGTTTTGAAAATCTGAGTTGCACTGGTTCAAGTTTTTTTAAAGCATTGGGAGAGTTGTTATGCAGACTGAACCATTTGGTTTAGTGGGTACGATGGTACCTTGCTAAACCTAAATACATGAGTTTTTTTAAATCACAGTGTGGGAGAAGATTTTGCAGATTGGAAACACTTTTGTGAGTATATATTATGTGATTGTTACAAATAATATGACAATGTGCTGTTGTAGTTCTGCTAATTATTATTCAATTTCAAAAATACTTTTGAACTAATCATAACATTCACTTTACACATTACAATTAAAAATACTTCATGACTGAAAAGAAGTGTCATGTGGATCACCGAAACTACAATGACATTGCTTTCTGGAAAAACTGGCTTAGGCAAAATTTATTTCCCTTCAACAAAAAGAATTGTAATGCTTTCCTGAAAAGGTATAAGAAGGTGCATGTGGAGCAGTTTTGCCAGAGAAGTATTTAGTAAAAAGTTGAGATGTTGTAGACTACTTAAGAGTTCATTTGTCAACTTTCAGTTCTGTACTCGTACAACCACAATTCATTTCGTATTTTGCATGGCTTCTCTACATACCTAACCTTTCAAATCCATAATTTTATTTGCTATTCTTCAGTTCACTGAAATTCCTTGGAATTGAAAGGAAAAGAAATAAAAAATTAATCTTACCCTGCAGAACGTACGAGCATCTTCAAATGCCATTGGAGCACCAACATAAATATAACAAGTATCTCCAACAAGCATCCAACCAGGTGGGCATTTCCCACCACTTAATATACTTTGATTATTCATATGAAATGGTTTAAAATCTACTTCTAGAAGATCTGGATGGTCACTTCGATCTCGTATACGGCCCATTACAGCAAGTGTCTCATTATAGCCCCACCAGTTGTGCTTTGCATCAATTGGAGTCTTCCACACATCTAAACTGCTGTCAAAAAGAGAAAAATCCTCAATTAAGTTTTAAAAATCTAATCTTTATACCCTAAAGCAATGAACAAAAAATACATACATAACTTTCAAAGGGTTATATGAGTATGTACATAGGAGTTGAATAGGGAAACAAGTCAAACATAGAATTAAGAAAATGACATTAGTGATATAAATTATTGTTTTGATAACAATTCCCTTCAACAGTTTTAACAAATCACAGCTTTTAGTAAAACTCATCATTTTTAAATTGTGCAAACATTCAAACGTGCTACTGAGCTTAAAGTTCCTTGGGTGAACTTGCTCAAACTAAACTATCAGTCAAATTGTACAAAAACCATTAATATTAATGTTTCCCAAAATCATTTCCTGTTTTATATTATTCAAAATCATTACTTTCACACAAACATGGGAAGAATACTTTCAACAAGTCCTTCAGCATTGCAAAGCAAAGAAAAGTTAAAGGACTTTTTTTTTTCAACAGTATCAAGGGAAGCATTGAAAGAAGCTTATCTGGAGAAAGTATTCAAATTTGCAAGCACCACTTCATCTGGTCGGGACTATCAGAAAAATCTATTTCCCCACCCCCAAAAACAAACAAACAAACAAACAAACAACATACATGCACATTGTGAGCAAACAAACAAAACAAACATGCATATCATAAAGCTCTGAACATAAATATGCATATCCAACACACTAAATGAAAAGAAATGTGACAAGTAAAGAACATGCATGAATTGTTATTCTGAGAAGGGCATGAAATATGAGCACTGATATAATACAGTTTTGATAATTAATAAAATCAGAATTGAACTGCTGAGTACAAAATGAAATTTAACACATTGGCTGACATGTGAGACCATATGGATTCATAGCGAGTTTATTTATTTTCAGTGCGAGACTCAGTGAGAGAGAATTTTTTTAAAATGTATGAAACCTAATGGTCTTATACAATGACTTGTCTAAAGTACAAAAATATTCAATAGTACGTCCATCAATCTACAAATTATCAACTTCCTTCCTACCGAAATTCTCACTGACCACTATAGGGTGCAGATGAACTACATTTAATTTTATCTTTCTCTCTCTTTTTTTATTTTATTTTTTTTTTATTTATGGTAGATTACATTGTTCATGTTTGGAGGAATACACTGGCACTGATGGGGAGTATAAGAAGGTCGCTGTGGTATTGTGGTTGAAAATGGAGAGAATGCGCTTGGCAGTGAACGTATTAAAACACATTCTACCTAAACAATGAAAAACACAAGCACAAAAAACATACATGACACTGATAGGCAAAAAATTATAATTTCTTACCTATTAATTCCAGCACTGGAGTTTGTAATTGAGTCAGGAAGAAAAGAAATAAACAAAAGAAAAATTATTTTAGAACATAGTTGTTTTTCAACTTCAAACAAAAATTCTCATTGATGGGATATTAACTAAGACATGAGCAAGCATGCATCCACACTCAACTCACCATTTGTACACACACCTACATACACACGATGCAACAGAATGCAAAAATCTACCCACCTACACAATACACATAATCTATGTATTAGAATTGAATACTTTTGGCTTCTAAAAATACTGAAAGTAAATAATTCTTGTCACATATACAATAGAGTAAAATTTGTTGCATTATAATATTCATGCTTTCTACTGACTAAGATAGAAAAATACTTACAAGGACCTATTAACAGTTACAATTTCATAGTCATTTTCAGGATCATAAAAAACATTGTCAACATAATGTTGGCCAGCTGTACCAGCAATAACTGTGCTACGAGAATCCCTGTCAGTTGCGTAGTTCCTGAAATGCAAAACATAATTTAAAAATGCAAAAAATGAGAAATGATGTATTAAAACAAAAAATTGTAACTATGTTTACCAGTAAAATCCATTATGTGATGTTGTCTGATAAATAGGGAGTCGTACTCTTTCAAATCCAGATACTTCCAAAATATGATGACCAAAATTATGATGCACATAATTATAAGTGAAATTTGACACAACCTGTAACATCCAAATACATTTAAATAATGCAAAAGTTGCATGATAAATGGAATGCTTTGTAGTAGACAAATGCAATAGAAGTCTACAATTTTTAATAAGAAAAAACCAATGAACAAAGACAGAGAAACAATGCTATATGGTAAATAAACAATAAATAAAGAACAAGAAAGCTAAATAAAGAATAATAAAGCATAAAATTATGTAGCATCTTTGGTACATTATTAACATAGAAATAAGGCACCTTATTTCTATGTTTATAATATAATCAAGTAAGTCGATAAAAGGCTAGCTTGTACTCCATAAAATAAAATAAACAAATAAAAATAAAAGCACCATTTTCCCTGACTGTCCAGGGAAAAACTTACCTGCTTTAAAATAATTATATCTTCATATGGTGCAATATTGCGAGTAAAATAATTTCTGTATATAGTAACTTCCTGGTATGGACTACTCTGTCGTCCTTCAATATACAATGCTGGATTATGTGAGTTGTCAGTGAAAAGGTTGTTATGGAGCCATCCTTTGAGAGCAGTAGCAGATCCACGTGAATCAGCTCTAATAGCTAAACCACCCTGATTACTATCCACTAAATTATTCTGAAAAATTTTTTTTATTAACACTTTTATAAAAGTTAGGGTATGTATATATACATACATATACCTATGAACCCTAACTAGTTTTGACATCAAATCATTAAAATATTACTATTACTCTAATATATTCCTCTTATTATTCTCAAAGGATAAAAAAGTATCCAAATGTAAGAAATTATAAACACTGTTTCAAGACTTATGAATGATCAGCACTATTTCAAAAAGTCATCTGTGTAATTAAGGATTAAAACCTTTTCAAAAATGTGTTTTTGCTCTGATATCCAAAGCCAAATTAACAGTAAGAAATTCATATAATTATTTACAATTAATATGTAATTCATAAATGAATAAACAATGTTTGTTTAAGTGCTTACTCTGAAATACACAGTTCTAGTGTTCTGTATATCCAAATACACAGCAGCCCCACATGTTGTGAAGTTTCCATAGAGTTTATCACAGTTATTTTTAAACTGATTCCATTCAACAGTAATCATAGGATTCACTTCCCCAGCACTTCCATAATGTATTGCACCCTGTCTGTTGTTTGTCATTATGGAATATGAAATATTATGCTGTACATCTCTATCTAAAAATGTTATAAAAAAATCAATTTTGACAATGCAAACATTTCTACTCTTAATATTCATACACAAGATTTCATATGAAAAATGCAGATAAATTAATTTCTCATATGCGTTCATTTCAAACCCACATGCTTATTGAATAAAATATAAAATAATGAACTTACTGAATCCAATAGCAGAAATAGGTAAAGTTACAACTTCTGCAATAAAACCATGCATCTCGCTGGCACCATTTGCAAACAGCTTTATGCTCAGACTTGGGAGTATAGACCTAAACAATCTCTTTTCCATATTATTTCCAACTTTTATGTTCCCAATAATTTTTGAAGTTATATTATAAATATCACCATCATACAAAGTTATGCTATCAGGTTGTCCAACTTTACCCGTAGAATTGAAGAGATTGAACTGAAGTAACCTACAAATTAAATGATTAGTTAGAAGTACCAGTGGTTTATTTTGATTTACAACATATTTATTATCATTAACATCATGTCAAGACTAACATGAATCGCCACTTCATTACTAGTGTAAGTTACAGAAAAAATATATTACAAATAATGTACAAGGTCATTTGGAAATTGAAAACGTTTTTGGTTGATATGGAGTTTACAGTGCCCATTCCCTAAACGAGGTAATAGAATTAACTGTTCATTAAAGTAACATTTATCTTAAATTTCAAATATATTAAAATAAAGTCAAGGTCTCCTTGATGGTTTTAAATGGTAATGAATGTAATTTATTAGTGCTCCTGAACGTAGGTGGGTCAGCTTTTCCATGTGGAAATGCTGTTTTTAATTAATATTTCTAGTATCTTGCTATGATGGTAAATTTGAATTTTTGTTCCAATCAAAACTTGCACAGTGAGGGAAATTTGAAAGTAAATAAGTGGTGATGAGAGGGATTGGCAGCAATATATGTTGGCTATGTTTGCAACTACTACACATGAAGAGAGAGTGGTCAATAGAATATTTTTCAAGGGTAAGTCCCTTGAAAAATGCTTTCATTAAATTACAACTAGCGAAACAAAGTTCCTGCCAAGTGTTGCCATCTATACTTTACTAGATCATAAGAAAAATGTGAATATATGACAAGAAAAAAATATTTTTAACCTGTTAAAAAGAATTAAAAAACAAACAAAATTGGTACACCCATATTGTAAGAATGAACAACGTCAGACTCTCTAAACAAATAATAAATTATGTACCAGCTGGCAGAAGAAGAGTTGGAAGACCAAAGACTTGGAGGATTGCTGATATAATGTTGAAGAGGACAGAACAGACCAACAGGCCTAATCCTTGATGTTGAAGAAGAAAAGCATTTTTCAAGGGTCTTACCAAGATGTAACATCTAAACAATTAGGCAAAGTAACATCCTTTTACTTTCCCGTACACGTACATATACAGGATGAGTCACATAACTTTAGCACCTACTGTAATTTTTGAATGGTTGAAGTTATTGCAACGCAGTTTTCACAAAAATGAATGAGAGAATGGGGCTAATTTATGTATGAATTCTTTTCCATTTTATCACTTGTATTTTATGAGATATTGAGGTGACTTTGTGTTTTTCGAATGGAACTACATATTTTTTTAGACTATCATGATGAGCATAAAAAGATGAATTTAATGATGTACATATTGTCATAAGTTATATAAGCATTTTTTTGAGTAAGTTTCATTTTTCGTGAGTCGTTGTAAATGGATATTGTAATGCCCCCCAGCGCGGGTTTAGCAGGGCAAACGCTGCCTAACCTCGGGCTGTGGACTGCTACATTCAAAATATCTGCTAAATACTAGTAACAAAAATTACTCAAAAATTAATCTAATTACTAAAATACAAGTGATAAAATAGAAACTAATACATACATCAATTAGCTGAAAACTGAACTTCAACAACTTCAACTGTTCAAAAATTATAGGAGGAGCTAAGTTACGTGACTCACCCTCTATGTGGAGTAATATACAAACTATAAGAGAAAGTTCTGTAATGAGGTGGAAAATAGATTCCAACATTTTATTGGAGATACATGTTTTAGGGCTCTCTGATACCAAATAAAAATTATTCCACCCCCCAAATGTCTATCCATCTAAGAATAACACTAACATCTCAACCATTCACAGGAATTTTTACCCAAAATGAATAATTCCGAATTAATCTTGCCCAGCTGAAGGCTCTGCCAATTTGACATGAATTCTTTGAATTTTGGGGATACTTCACATATTAGCCCCTGGGACACCTTCGCGTGTATCTTAAAAATGGCTCCAAATTTTCCTCTTTAAATTTCTCAGAATAGAGTGAAATACAATTATAATAATGGCACAGATCCAATTTACACTATTAATCTGAATTTTCAAAAATTGCAAAGAAATTAAAATTTTTGAACACCTTTGTAAGACTACATTATTGAAGATAAAGATTTTTTATTAAAAAAAATTGTTCTCCACATTTTGTTCTTTAATTAATGTTGTGTACATTTTCATGAAAATATTAGTAGTTTTTACTGAATTTTGAGTGAACTGTGGGCCCTATTACAAGCAAAATTTTCTTGAAGATGACTCCCAATTTTTTCTTTTAATATTTTGTTCAGAGATGGCTATATGTACTGAATAACATGACATAAACGCCATTTTCATATGTGCTTTTAATTTTACAAAAATTACACTAATGTATTTTTTTGAAATATTTCTCACATCGTTGGTATTTACATTATGGGTGCTTTTTATCAATTATTGAATTTGTGAGTACACGTGCATGTGTGTTTCAAATTATTTCTGATAAAATTTCTCGATAACAAAAGTTTTCTGTGAAAATTAACTCAATATTGTGCATTTTCAGAGACACTCAAATGAGCTTTTATTATAAAGATGCCAAATTTTTTAATTAAAATTTGCATAACTGGTTTCACTCTACAATATTCCTAAACACATTTGAATTCTACTATTAGGGGATCAAAAAATAGAAAAATGTGTTTTGATATACCTCTACTTCCTCAATAAAAATATTACATGAAAGGAAACTAAACCACTGAATTAACTGGCATGTGCTCTAAATATTATGTTCTACAACAGTTTCTTTAGAGTTAGTTAACTTTGAGAAAATTGTGAGTGCAACGTTCATTGATTTTAAGTAAAGTAACTTTGTTTGCATTGCTTTTATGAAAACGAATTGTGTCAAAGTAATTCAGATACATAAATTCAATGTTAGGCTTAATTCACATTAAAGGCTGTGTATAAATAAAAAGTCAGTTTTTTTAATATTATTAGTTTTATCAAATTATCATTATATCACCATAAAACACCTTCAAATAGCATGGTCAAGTGATTCGACATTGTGAGGCAGTGTGTGAAAAGAGAGCCATTGAAGGGGACATTAAGATCACGAATTCAAAACCTGTGCCGGACTAAGATGGGTATACCAGTTGTTTGGAGAGCACAAAGAAGCTCTTATCTACAAATGTCCCAAGAGGAGTAGTAGGTACTGCAAAAGGATCCCTGGTAGGTCTTTTAGTCGGCAACCGATAGCAGTGTGAAAGGCAATAGGGCAAAACTGAAAAGTTAACCCAGACTTGAGAACAGAAAACTTATAAGAAAGTTTTGATATTAGATTTGTGTTTTGCAGGTCAAAATATCAAATGTCATAAGTCTCCTGTCATTTTACCTCATAAAGTAATAAAAAAGTTACATTAAGAATTGCAAACTGACCATCTCAATTGTCCATGTTAATACTTTCTCTTCTTACGTTAGTAAGAGCAAGAAAGAAAAAATGAGCTGTCACCCGCCTCTGCGGAGAACGTGAAGACATTTTCCATAGGTACAACTGGGTAAAATGCAATGAAAATCAGGATTCCTATTTGTAACTAAAAGGCTAAGGACAGAACATGTAGTTACTTAACCGATTAATTTTAGTCGTTTCTACAATTCTACAATTTACAGTCATTTTTCTTTCCTTGTAGGGCATTTGAAAACCATATTAAGAGTATTTTATTGATCATTCAGGTGATGTTTTAGGTCATCACAATTCGTCCCCTGGTTATTTTATTTCCATATCCTAGGGATATGATATAAATACCAGAGTCGAGTGTGATCACTAAATGAAGATAGTAGGGAGTTTGTGCACCCTCAAATGTAAAAGCACTATCGATCTTCTGAGCATGCGCAGTTCATGTTTTGCACCCTTTTAGTGTATCTGCGCATGTGCAGAAGATCGATAGTGCTATGGCAGGCACAAACTCCCTAGTTTTTTATTCAAAATGTTTTAGACAAATGTGTCATATTATGTAGAATGATGCAGGCTACACTCAGCTCATGTTACGTAATATTCCATGATTCATCTTGAATATTTTCTGGGTTCATTTAAAATAATAGGGCTGTCAAAATTAAAATAATGAAAATGTAAGGTAATTTCGAGAAATTGAGTTTCATTTTGTGCTAGTCTCCTTAATGTTATTAACTTGTTCTTAATTCTTTGTTACAGTGCATGTTTTCTCTGTCCCACATAAGAGACAGAGAAATCACAAGTAAGGGTGGAAAGGTACATTTCCTTTAGCTGTTAAAGATACACTTTTGACAGCCCTACCATTTTGGATAACTAACCCAGAAAACTGACTCCAGCCGTGAAAGCCTACAATGCTATGTAACCCAAAACATATTCAAGATTAATCTCAGAGACATTACGAATAAATCTATCTAAAAGTACTACATAAAAATACCATATAGTATTTCTTTTAACAGATTACATTGTTTGTAATGTGTCAGAAATGTTGCAAATCAATCATTTACTTCAATTTTTTTTATTGTTGTTAAGATTATACAATTATTTTCCAGCGCTTACCAATGATTTTATGAAAAACCATGTGTGGACTGCATTCCACAAAAATTGTACTATTTAGTGTTCCATTTGCAAGAACAAACTCTTATTATTATGCTCAATTATGGAGGATGTGTTGTAGAGTACACAATAGCATGATTGATCTGTAGTGTTCGTTTCATAAATTTAAATGTAATGTTTAAAAACTGATTTTGAATGATTTTAATTGATGTTTTCATTTTATGTGTATGTAATGTTTTACTTTATTAGTGTCCTACTTATTATTGGGCATTTGCCTGTACTGTATTGTATGTAAATAAAATTTTGAAATAAATAGATTTTTCAGTATGATGACTGATATCTCATCAGTATGGTATTGCATCTTTTTATCAAAATGGATCACAGGGGGTCCCAAAAATGTACCGCCTTACTTGTACCTATGATACATATGTATATGGCCTAGTGACAAATCGGACATCTTTGAATCAGTATGGCAGCAACTTAGAGGCACCGACAAGTTATGGTGTGGTCATAATTGGCAAAGAAAAATAATTTTCTACCATTAAAGCAAAACATTAGTTTTGAGCTCATAATACAAGAGAGCATTAACAAAATGACCCTTTGAATTGAATATGGCACACACAGTTTGACAAGCCACATCAGTATGGCATACAACTCCTCCAGACTTTGGCTATTTAATGAACAATATACAACAAGAATTAGCTATATACTCATTCCCCAATAGCATAGTTTTTTTTTGACACGTTCAAACAATTGTGCAGTGCAACACCAACACTTAGAGGCCGCCATACTTGCGTGTCTCTGTTCCTCATAACACTGGTTAACTTCTCAAAAAGTTGTAGCTATTGGTTCACATTGCTGAGAACGTCTTGCTTTCTAGTGAATGACATTTTTGAACGAAGGGAACAGGGACTGGCGATTTACCAAGTACTCATACTTGATAGCGCACACTTTTAGCTCTTTAATATTGATCATATTATTCAAATATGCAATAAATAAACAAATCGTGTAACCTTGAAATTAATTTACTCTTGACCTCAAGATACATCATTGATTTCTTGGAAACATTTAAATGAAAATACTTTCAATATTCCACAATCTATACCAAAATATTTTAATTGAAACTTACCTAAATCCTAATGGTTTGGAGTCATAAACACTGTTGAAAATCTTTATGCAGTTTACAGGATGGTTGTCATATTTGTAATAAACTAAAACTCGTTCTTCAATAGTAATTTCCTTTGCTGGATCACACATATCAACCAAACTGAACAAGTGATATGGAATGTGTATTTGTCTTAAAGGTGTATATGAACTTTCCTCTGATTCTCGGCCTTCACCAGTTAATGAAAGTGCTGATATACCCACTCCTAGGGTGTGCTCAATGCTATAATCATAACCAAAGAATTAGAAATTCACATACTTTATAATTAAAGTTCATTTAAACACACATTTTGTTATCTGAGTCAAGAAGTAATATCAATGAATCATCATCAAACGTATACAAACTGTATTACCTATTATACATCAGTCGTGTGGTATCAATGGGAGAAATAAAGTTCATACCATGTGAAGCACAATTAGTAATGTTCACACGTAAAATTGTAGGCGACCTATTGATACTCTGAATGGCAGGTGATTTTTCATTGTGTAATACACCTGCACCAGTAATATTAACATATTCCAAAGAAGATTCAGCACGATGAGCAGTCTGATGTGTTACAACATCATGTATTCGATGCTCATACAAGTTTTGTTCAAATTCTCCATCTGCAAACCTACAGAAAAAATAAAATGCATTTTTTTAAACTTTATTAAACAGATTTATATACCTATATATTCTTTAACTATACTCGCGAAACAACTTTTGAGTGTTTATTGCGGTTCAACCATTTGAAATATATAAGGATTTTATTAGACAAAATATGCTTAAAACTGACTTAAGATATTCATAAAGTTCGTATGTATGAGCATGCACACATGCGCACGTGCACACACACACACACACAAACATGCCCACACACACACACACACACACTTGCATTGAGTGCTTTCTTATTTACATGTTAAATTTTCTTTGCAAACACTTATATTCATCTCTTTTGTAAATAATAAACAATTTCCATGTTTCTGGATCATTTATTTGTTTCTGAAATGCAAATTTATGCATATAAATTAATTTTTCAAACCAACTTTTGAATGCTTATTGCAGCTCAACCATTCATAAATTCGAAGGAATTTATTAGAAAAAATATGCTTAAAATTGTTTAAGAGCTAATTTTCAATGTTTCTTTGTTTCCTCCCTGGACACCTGTATATCGATGTATAAATTCTCACAACTTAACAAAATGTTAAAATATAATACAATCTGAAATAATACATAAATAGTAACAAAAAATATGACAAATATTTACTTGGGAGACACACAAATAAAAGTCATGTCCATAAGCCTTCCCATGCTCAGAGAGTCGGGAGAAGGGGAATTCTCTACAGCCTACGCCTTGAGAGACAAGTGACCACAAGCTTGTATTCTACACTGACAGCTATTGTGTGTCACAGTGATAGAGAATTTAAATCAAGCTTGCAGATTCATTCATTTCATTAAGAACATCTCTCATCGCTCTGCCAATTGCTTTAAACTCAGGAAATCCATTTTATAATAACTTTTTCCCCTGGCAGAACATGAAAAAATATTCTGTTTTCTTGTTAGAGAAGTTTCGTTTTATGCTGTGTAAAATGGCATTTAACTTTACTGGTTGGAGACATTTTCTGGTTAAGAGAGGTTTGTACAGGTTCCAGTTTAGGCAGGTTTTACTGTATTTTACTCTGATATTTCACCTATTCTTATTCTATGCATACCAACTGAATTTTCACACCCTGTGAGACATTGCTTACAACACAGCTGATATCATATAACAGCAAGGCTCCTTGGAAGAGTCCAATTACCATTACATATTTGGTATTTATGAATTACATTACAGATCAGCAACTTCATTGATATTCATAGAACATAAAGACCTATTATACTGGATATATACTACACCACTAAGTTACTACAATATTCATGAAGACTAATTTTGTAAAAATATTTAATTTATTGCAGAGCTACATGGGAGTATTTTATTTATTGCTCTTGCTCAGAATGGGTGCAACTTTTTGGAAATTTTTTTATGCGATTTAGTTCAGCAGTGTTTTTGCTGCTATAGGTCACTAATTAGTAAATATTTTTTCAGGTAATAAAATTTATTTATGAAAATTTCTCTGAAAACGAAGTATTACTCTAACTGAATGTCACAAAAAGTAGGAATAAATATATTACCTAATGCCACCCCAATATTCTTGATGCGGTTCTAAGTTCCTTGGCCCACAGTGGATAAACACATAGTTAGAATTCCATGAACACTTATGGCGATGACCATATAACTGCCCATTAAGACGAATGGCACACTCCTCCAACTTGTTTTCATCTCCTGTACATAAAAAAATATTTTGGAGAAAATGTCATGTTAAAATAAATTCTAACATAATGCAATGCTAAGAACTAAAATAACATTATTACCTTTACATTGCCATGGATCGGGCCATGACCATATTCTTGAAAGTGAATTAGGATGAAATTCAACTCTTACACCATGGTCAAAATAAACATTAATATATTCAAAGCCCAATTCACGACAAACGACTTGCGCATTTCGTTCTGTGAAACGATCATCACATATTGGTACCCATTGCATTGTAGTAGAATTGAAGTATTCCAAGAAGCCTTCATTAATCATGGCAGAATCTGTAAGAGCAAAACATTTTGTTCAGAAGGAGCAGTCAATTCTAACGTGTATGCTTCATATTGGATATCAACCTCCAGAAACCACCATATATCCTAAATAAGAATGACAGAGAAAATGAAACATGAAGAATCAAATCATAATTATAACTAAAGGATTTTAATAGATTCTCTATCATAAATTTGATAAGGGAATGTGTTACTTCCTGTCATTGGTTCGATTGGCTTAAAATTAAAGTCGCTGGAAATAATAACACATAATAAGGAGTGTTTATGTAAAAAAAATTAAACTTCATAAAACAGAAGAAGTATTCAATCAAAAGAATGACACTGAATACAACGAATTATTTTCATAATCTACAAAACAGGCTTTATACATCATGAATGAATACAACTCACATACTTACCCAACTCCATGTTTGATGAAGTGCAATTTCCACCAGTACAAAGTCTAATGGATTCAGAACCCTGACCTTGCAGTATTGCTGAAGTATGAGGATTAGTTGCTTCAACATTTGCTCTTGATGAAAGAGGTCGCATAATAATTTCTCGTCCAGGTGCACCTTGAGCTTTGAGTGCTCCAAGCACTAAAATACCTACATTAGGTGGAAACTCCATTATGACTTCAGGAGCAATTGTCAATGTTACCTGAAATATATACAAACATGCTAAATAAAAAAATAAATATTTTCACAGAGGGAACATGAGGTCAGATTTTAATGTCACAATCATGTTGGTCATTTCCTGATTTGGACCTGTATATGTGAGTAGAAATACTTCAAATGATTTTCAATTAATTTTCTGGAATTCTCAATTATTTTCTTCAGCAACAGAGAATTGTGACAAATAATATTCACCGACCAAGACTCAAACCAGCGGACTTCCCCTCCAAAGAGCTGAGTCCGTAAACACCAATTAGCCACCTCAGCCACCCAGGCAGCATATAGGATTCACTCTCATATAATAGTAATAATCCTATGGTGGTTTCAGTTCTAGCATTAGGATGCATGAATCAGGATGCATGCAAAAATTGAGAAAATGTGAAAAAAAAGTCCTTTGGGCGATAAAAGAAGGTATTTGGGAAGAGAATCAGTCACAACTGAAATCCTAGTTCAGACTAAAGAAATTAGAAAACTAAATACTGCGAGAAAGTCTGTGCCATTATATTGCACCACTAGTTTGTTTGTTTGTTTATTTATTTATTTAAAAAAGATAATTTTCTACAAAAAACATTTTCTGTAGCAAAAGTATCTTCAATTTTGTAGTTTTGAGTTTTTTGTTTGCAATTTACAAAAACACCGAGCAATACCTGAAAATGGGACTAGCACCATAGTTTTCAAGGGCAGGTTACACAAAAACTTACTAATTTTTTCAAAAAATTTAAAATGACAACTTTCAAAGAGGTAATTTTATACAGATTTTGCTTTCCAGGTTTTTTTTTCTCTAAATTAAGCAACAGGATTTATCTACTTCTTTGTTATCAGAACCCAGGAATATGTTTTTTTTTTCTGGTGAAATAACTTTCCTTTCTTATGAAGAATTCATAAGGTGAGAAAGTAAAAACAACAGAACCCCTTTGCCCCTGAAATATAAGTCTGCCAAAGCCAAATATCATTCATTTTATCCTCAGTAAAGTGACAATAGCTTAGAAGTCTTAGCACTAGTGTTACTGAAGTGGGGAATGGCCAGCATTATTAAAAAATTCCCCCAGATCATATATTAGTGATATGATCAACAAGAAATTGACTTCATAAGAAGAAGTCAGAGGGTAAAAACACTGAAGAGGTGTGATCATTTACATGGATGACACTATAATAATTTTGGAGAGGGTCGTGAACATGGAAACCATTCCTAGTTCATGTTTTACAAACAAAACAACATTAGGATGAAAGGCAAAGATATTAGCCCGCAGATGTGATTCAAATATGAATAAATTATAATAAAAGAATTATGTTTTTTAAGAGATTTAAGTTCATTTTTTATTCCAGAAAATTCCAAAAGTCTAATTTTTTGGAGTGTCTTCCTACAACTTTAATATTGAAGATAGATTTTTTCCATTAAAGAAATCTGTTCCTTAAAGACGGATCTTTAAATAATTTCATGTTCAATTTTTCGAAAATACGAGTTTTTGTGTAATTTTGCTTGAAATATAGGCAAGTTAAAATTTTTTATTAACAATATTTTTTTCAAAATCACCTGCAAATTTGTTTCTTTAAATTGTCTTCTTATATGTAATAACGGTAAAAAATATTATGGTTAACGGTAAAAAAAAATTATTTTGGGGTTTTTCGAAAAATTCAGTCGTTCCGTTTTTTTCGAAAATGGCAAAAATTTAACTTTCTTCTTCTTAGAGTGTTTATCCAGCCGACAGCCGGTTACAATTTACATCCTGATGGGACGCACATCCGACCATACACTAGAGACCAACACGCGAGCTATCTGGAGTCAGCAGAACGCGAGGCCTTCCCAGGACTCGAACTCGAATCAAATGCCGTTTACTGATTGAAATTCGAAGAATTTGTTCCATACGATTACCACCATACGACTCAACCTCCCACGTAACACGAAAATCTATATATTCCCTAAAGCAAGCGTCGCGACGGTCAAGAACAGCGATGTCAGTCGCAGCTTGATAGCTGATTTGAAGGAGTTGTGACGCACGCCAGTTCAATCACAGAAGGGGGAGTGCCGTGTGCCCGCTCCTACTTTAGAGGGTTGCGGAAGAAATACTTCGGACCGTATACCTTCTTCTTACCAGAATTGCCATCTGACTAGTTTCTTCGTTAGAATAGCCGCTTGTGTTATTACGACGAAGCTGTAAACGACGGAGTTTTGTTTAAATCTATGAGAAGCTGGAGTTACGCAGCCGTTTAAATAGTGATTTGATAGAGAGAGAATTTGAATAAAGCAAAGTACTTCAATTCCACTAATTAATACGAAGTGGATTGTTTAGGCAACATATTTGAAGCAACGTCGGTGCAGTGGAAGAAACAAGAACGCTTCGTTTCTAAATAACTTGCTGTGAATAACGCAGAGTGCTACGCGGCACGTCGAAGGACTATGTATAAAATGCATGTAACGCAATTGCGTCGTGCGTAGGATTGCGCAACGGGAACGCGAAGAAGAAAGAAGCAGCCGAGAATGGGACTATTACATAAAGAGAAAAGCAGAGCGAAGGGAGCCGCCAAGCAGATGAACGGGACGGAAGACGGGATTAATGGTGTTAGTGAAGACCTAATTAAGGGGGAAGAGGGTGCAGGTTGCTGGGAAGGCCACGGCTCCGCCGTGCGACCGCGCCGGACCGTAGGACGACCTGTTCGTTCCTACGATGAGAAAACTGCGAGGTCCTAAGCGAGTGGATGCAAAATTGTCCTTCGAAAACGATTTTCAGGAAAACTTAATGGTAAAAGCTGCGATCATATCGGTTCGAGCACCGGGGAATAGAGATCTAGCTGTTGTTCTAGACCAAGTCACTGAAACTCCAATTAGACCATCGAAAATATTATGTAATTCCCAAAACAAACTATCAGTTGCATTATCCTATTTCCTAGATAACAATTTGAGCAAGCAACAAAATATAAACACAAGACTACGATCCACAATGGAGATATTTTCCCATCGATCGAAAAAGTGAAAAGACCAAAAGTAACATGTAGACCAGGTTTACAAGGTGAAAGATAATGGTTGTGGATCGTCTAATGACGGAAATATTGCACTACATGCCTTCTCAGAGTCTGCAGGTTTTTCAGGAATTAATGGTGTTAGTGAGGACCTAATTAAGAGATTTACCTCCTGATAGCCATGTCTTGTCAGTACAGCATTGATCCAGAATTATTTCGCAAGTATTGTACGGAGACTGTTGAAGTATACAGAAAAAACTATGATTGGTTCCATATGCCTGTAAGTGTTCATAAAGTTATTGTACAAGGGAAACACATACTTCAGCATAGTATTCTGCCACTTGGATGCCTGGGAGAAGAAGCTTCAGAATCCAGAAATAGATTGTACAAAAAGGGCAGAGAGACTCATGCAAGGAAAGACAGCAGAATCCACCGATATTTTCAACAGAGCATTGGAAACATCAGATCCCATCATTTCGACTGAGCCTCGAGAAAAAGAGTTAAAAATAATAAGAAACAGGAACTTTCGCTTTAAGTAATAAAAATGCGCATATGCTCTGCCCCATAATCAAATTCACATAAAGCAATTGAGGAAATATCTGATCTTGTTGAAGAATCTGATGAGGATGCTATGGAGTGGATCACTTTCCAGTGATTAGAGTAAACATTACATAATATTAGTAATACGCATGATATATATTTATTTGACAAAAGTCTGAAATCTTGTTAAACTAAAATAGAGATGAATAACTTCATAAGAAACGTTTGGATGATAATTTTTAATTTCCATCTCTTCCCACCTCAAGGCAGTATGTATACGTGAGCCGCCATTTTGAAATTTTGCAACATGTAATATGACAAATTTATAACCTCCTTTATGTCTACGAGTATATGTGTACCAAATTTCAGGCAATCTGCTCTTCAAATTACCGAGTTATGACCTTTGGCCAAGGATAGCGCACTTTCATCCAACAGTGTGCCGTCGCGTTTTCATCTATGCGGTAGAAACAGCGTAAATTGAGGCGAAGTAAGAGGGAACTTTTGCGTGTTAGCAAAGCCGTTAGATCAGAAACAGAATTATTGCCTTAAGAAATAATAATTTGTTTTCTTGTATAGTTGTTCAAAACGTCAAAGTTTAAGTTTATGTGTAAACCAGACATTCAAATTAGAAATAATAGTGTTTAATTGTGTTATCTGAAGTAATGAGTTCAAATTTTGCAGGATCACAGTTCTGATTATTTCCTCGCTCAGATTTCGAACATGATCAATAAATAAATAGTAACGACATCTAATTACAAGGTATCTACCATGGACAGGTCGTAAACAGAGCATGAACATTGCTTACGAAACCTAAATGTGTGACTACAGCATAAAGGATTTTTAGGTGTCGTTCGTACATCAAACAGATAAAGGACATGATCGAAGAGTCTTATTTGCATATTTCAAATTGTATTTTGTTGTTGATTTCGTTTGTGTTTGGATATACCTTTTTCACCCGAAAGATCCCACTACCCTGAGATTCTGAGATTAATTAAAAGCTCTTATATA